GTCGGCTTTAATGCTCTTCTTCACTTACTTGTTTACTTCTGTGCGTTCGGTCTGTGCCTTGGTTTCCTCTGCTCTTGTTCGACTGTTGTTAGTTGCTATCTACCTGTTCTTCCTTTCTCGAATCTTAGTCAGGTTCCGCATAGAAATCTACCACTTGTTCCGAGAATTGTCGACTTGTATCTCCTCAATTCACAGCGGCCCGACTGGTCCTCCCAATTTTCACATCATCCGAACATTCCATGTATTTATGTTAATTATTGATCTGGTTGTTAGAAGAGGCATCACCTTCGTTACTTCCGAAAGATCTCGGCTTTCGCCATGAGGCGTCATAATTCTTTTGAAAAAAGATTCATCAAGTGTCAGGGCAAAGTTTAAATGGAGTATATTATTTATTATGGTAGACCAATCCGTATGAATAAGGTCACTAGCTGATAGTTTCAGTAAAGTACTGACTGGTTTAGAAGCGTAGCTTCCGAATACTGAGCGATAAAAGTCCTCGTCCGTAGATCAACACGTAAAATTACAGTAGAAAAATATACTTTATACCACGAAGAGTTTGTATTTATGATACTTTCCAATGTGAAATTCCTCAAAAACAAATGTGATATTTTCACTAAGAAAGGAGGTAGCATACTCGAAATGATTTTAAACGGCTTCTAGGTAAACAGACTTTTTAATTTGGTGAATACTATAAACACATTCAATAAAAAATACCAACCAACACTAAGAACTTCAAATACGAGATGCTCGCCTTGATCAAAACCACTCACGGTCATAGGGACAAATTTGGCCTGGGTTCAGTTTCAGTTTGGGAAGGACAGGCGGCTTGATGGCCTATGTTAGTCCTGACAATGGTGGTCGCTCAGCTGATCCAACTTTCTTTTGAAAGAGTCAACGGATGGAGCCTCAACCACGTGCTGAGGTAGCGTATTCCACTCGTTGATGATTCGATGGAAAAGTCGATAGTCAGCTGACAAGTCATTTGTTCTGGGCTTGTGAACGTTTTTGGAGTGTCCTCGTAAATCCTCTGTTTTGGAAGACAGGAAAAATGAGGGCATATTAGGTGCAAATTTATCACTAAGCAGTTTGTAGACTGTAATCAAGTCGCCTCTAGTTCTGCGATATGACAACGGGAAAAGGTTCAGCTTGGCCAGTCGAGATTCATACGGAAGCTTCGCTATTCCGGAAATCAGCTTAGTCACCGTTCTCTGAACCTTTTCCAGAAGTTCACTGTCTTTTTTTAAGCAGGGGCTAGCCGCTTGTATGCAGTACTCAAGTTTAGGACGAACGAACACTGTATACAAAGTCAAAAACGTTTTGGCGTCGACATGACTAAAAGCTCTACGTATTGACCAGAAGGTTCTAAAACCTTTGTCGGCTATTGCACGGCAGTGTGCAGTAGTCTTTAAGTCTTGGCTAACGATGACTCCTAAGTCATTATACGTCTGGACGACAGGTAGCTCAGTGTTATTCATCGTGTATGTATCTGTATCTTGATGACCTATATGCATCACAACACACTTGGAAGTATTTATCGGCAACTGCCGGGTTTGAGACCATTCAGATAATTTCTTCATGTCATTTTAGAGTTTTAAGCTATCACCCTTACATCGTATCGTTCTCCATATCTTGACATTGTCAGCATATAGCAAGACCGATGATGATAGGAGACGAGGAGGGTTATTTATAAACAACAGGAATAGCACTGGCCCCAAAACGGTACCCTGGAGCACTCCACTAAGCACAGTTTCCCAGCTAGATAACTTTGAGTTCACCCTTACTCTTTGTTGACGCCCAACTAAGAAGTCGTTTATCCACATCAGTAAATTGCCTCTAATCTCGACTTTTCTTAACTTATATAACAGCCGGTTGTGCGGAACTTTGTCAAAAGCTTTACTGAAATCAATGAAGGCGACGTCTACAGGTAGCTTTTGGTCCTTAAGAGCGCACCAGCTTTCACGAGCCACTAACAAGTTAGTGAGACAATAATAACCTGTTCTGAAGCCGTGCTGCTTCTCCGAGAGGATCCGGTTTTTATCGAGATACTTAAACAGCTCCTTCCGAATAATCTTTTCTAGGATTTTAACAACCACACTAGTTAGGCTAACGGGGCGGTAGTTCTCAGGTTTGTGTTTCGTACCTGTTTTGAAGACAGGACTTACTGTGGCGTTTTTCCAGTCTTTTGGTAAGCGATCCTGCGTAACGGATAGGTTAAAGCATGTACTTAAAGGGCTTGCAACGAAGTTAGATAATTCCTTCAGTAGCCTAGGATGTAATTCATCGGGCCCCGTGGATTTACCTATGTCAAGCTTATTTAGCAGACTAAAGACATCGAGTTCTTTAATGGTCACGCTATCCAGTGTATGTATGAGGGGATCTGTATACGCTGACGGGAAGGGCGCTTCTATGGTAAGTAGTTTGAGAACACTTGGGCTTTACCAAAGTCGTCCTCCACTAATGATGAAGCAGTACTGTCTCCCCATAGAACAGGAATATTTTCTTTTCTCCTTGTCCTTTGGTTTATATAGGAATACAAGCGTTTAGTACATTCTATGGATTCCTTAACAAGTTTTCCTTCGTACAATTTTCTAGACTTACGGAGGGTCGAGGCACAAGTATTCCGAGCCTTTCGATACTGAGATTTTGACTCATCAGTCCCCAGTAACCTAAATCTATCCCACATTTTCCTTTTCTTACGGAGAAGGATACGGACCTCCCTACTGAACCATGGTGGTGAGTTTTTCGGCCCCTTTGGTATAGTCCAAGGGATGTGCGGTGTGGTAACTTTTAAGTATGAATTTCGAAATGCGTCCCAGGCCGTTTCAATTGAGGACTCTATTAATGATGCTGAGCGCATGATGTCTGGTATGTTTGCTTTCCAAACGTTGGGTCTGGACTGGACTGACGCGTGCTCGTGACTGGCAGTTATATGGAAGTCGAAAGTTAAAACTGCGTGATCGCTTTTACCTAGGGGTGGCATATGGTGGAGGTTCGCAACATCATCCTCATAGTGAATCAGTATACGATCTAATAAGGATGATTCAGTGTCCGGATCGTACCTTGTCGCTTCTTTCACATGTTGCACTAGAGCACATGTGATAACCCCATCAACTGGTTCCTGCTCGAAAGAATTCTCCGACGATTTAGTTCGCAGATTTTCCCAGTCTACCATAGGTGCATTGAAGTCCCCTAGGATTAGACATCGACCACTTTAAGACCAAGTATTGAGACTGCTTAACAGGATCTCATTTACCTCACAGCTTGGACTGCGACAGACCAAACCAATCAGCAGCTCTTTTCACTTGCATTTTAAGCGAAGACTAACTAATTCACACGTCCCACTCTCATGGGATACACTATCAATAATGGCAAATGGGATAGCATTCCTAATGAATAGAGCTACTCCCCCACCTTTGCGCTTTTGTGTTCTGTCGGCCCTTACTAACGTAAAACCCTCGAAATCTAATGCCTGTGTCAGCCAGGTTTCTGTTACTTCGATTATGTCTGGCTTTGTAGAGTCAATCTGTACACCTAGTTCCGATCGTTTATTAAGTAAGCTTCGTGGATTGGTGTAACAGATCCGAAGCCTGTTTAAGTGCCTCCGTGCTTCACCCAGAGTGGCTTCGGCATCATTCTCTGTCGAAGTCTTACAACCCGAAAATTTACAATTTTCAGGTCCTTTTCGCCAGCGTCTAAGCTCAGTTGTAGTTCTTTCTCGGCTTCCCGTCTTTTAACACGGTCTGCCAACGGTAGGTCCTTTCGGATAAAGACTCCTGAATCCTTTAATTTGTGTCCATTCTGTAAAATTAAGTCACGTTCGTTCGAAGAGCTGAATACTATTTTAAGCAGTCTGGAATGATTTGGTTTCGAGTCCGCTAGACTCCCTAGTCTGTACACCTTTAGCAAGGTGACCCCGGTCATATTTTGAGGCATGAGTTGATTAAGCAGTTGCCTAATTAGTACAATGTCATGCTCAAAACGAGCTTTAGGTTCAGAGCTCTCGCTCTCCTTGATTCTAAGAAAAATAGCTGATCTGTCGCTATGATCAGCTTTCTATTTTTCAACTACTTTTACGGAGGCAGGGTTCCTTTTTATATCCCTAATTTTCTTCCTTACAACCTGTACCCATTCGTCAACGGTGCTGGTAGAAGCAATAACAGTTGCGTCAAACCTAGTGTTGGATTTTGGGGGGTTGTCAACGACCTGAGAGGTCAGTTTATGTTTACCACTTGAAACTGATCGAGCCTTGCGATTGCGGCTTCTAGGTGTTTCCTGTTGGACCCCATCTGGGAGACGGGGAACATAAGACCCTACTTTTCTTGAGCCTTTGTTTAAGGCAGGCCCCTTTGGAGACTGCTTTTCCTTCTTTGACGGGCGTGAGTCATCTATCATCGAACTAACCTTAGTTTCCTTCACGTTGATTTGCGTGTTGACAGATCGAGTGCTGTTTGACGCGTTCCGACTATGCTTGCTAAAACACTTCTTTGCAGCATCAACCAGTGAGATGGCCTCGGTTAACAAGCTGTTTGCATCCGAGTAGCACTGTTGACAAAGCCATACACAACCCTTCTTACTGAACCGTTTGAAAGCAGCGGGCGTTAAGTTCGTGCAAACTTCGTGGTACCAGCCTTTGCACTCGTCGCACTGCATGCCGCTCTCAACAGGATAACGACAACCCGGACGTTGGCAACTGCTTTTTTTACACTGTCCTGTCATTTAGAAGAGGTTCTTCTTCAAGATGCGATGATACTCAGAAACAAAAAAATAATCGATGACCAAAAAAGTGAAGAGCTGTAGATTGCTAGGACCAAAAGTACTAACAGATACAGTTGAAAAAGAGGTACTCAAGAGTACCAACGACAAAACTAATTGAGAGAACAGTAAAAACAATACTCTAGTCGAATACTTTAACTGAAATAAGTTCAATTAAAGTGAAAACAGTAGTCTTGATGCGTAATAAACGATCAAAACAAAGAAATTTACTCAGCGAGGAAAAATACCACTGTCCTTTTTAAATAGCGCGCGAAACGTTTCATTCGTCGCTTTTTTATCCTGTTCCTATTCGAAACCCCATTATATCAGATTCTGGTCCCGATTATCAGATTGTCTTAACCTCACGTTTTTTATTTTCTATTTTTGTTGATTGCTTTCGTTACTAAGTGCGAATGCGATGTGTCTGTAGGAACTGTTTTCTTCCAATTAATTCTTATTCCTTCAATCTACCTACCATCTAGTAGGTTTCGGTAATTGCAGTTTCCTAAATATTCCTTGGGATTATATCTGAGGTCTGAAACGATCTTGTATATGTTTCTAAGATGTAGTTTAATGGGGGCATGCATACTATACTCTTTTGCAAAGATATGTCAATACCGCTTATACTACCATATCTTGGGGCGAAAGTCGCAACTAGCTGGTATCGAGCAAAAGAGCTAGCATACATTTGTTGACGCTTACCTTTGCATGGTTATTTTTCGCGACAGGTCCACTTAGCTGTTACTTTAATCTACGGCTTACAAGTTGTCCAATGAAGTTATGAGGTTGTGTGTATTTTGATTAACAGTAATTATATCCCTCTTCACTTGTTTCAGTATTTCCAAGATAAGCCGTCTTTCCTAATCATGAGTACTTTATTGGGATAGGCATCCGGACAACTCAGAATGATAAGGATGAGACATTATATTGCAATCCATTCATACCATAGGTCTATGAAATGCAGTTATCTGACGCTAGAATGATCTTGCTCATCTCTTTTGGGGACACCCTTGCTCTAAGGAGCCAGCGGGTAGGTATTCTATGAAAAGACTATTAATTCATGGTCACATAGTAGATTGCGGTCAGTCGTTTTTGTGGTTAAATGATAGGTACTTAATTGACACAATCAAACTTTTTCAATATAGCTGTAGTATATTCAACATAAATTATCTGAAATCTACTTACCTAGTCCTCCATTTGTTGTCTTATGTGTAGTTGACGATGGCTAACTTAGATGTTAGTGAGCTTGGTATATCGAAGAATTTACTCCAAATGAATTTTATGCGACGAACTCTCGTAGCCAAGGAGAAGGCTACTAATCAAAGTGCCCCAGACATCCTTCCTAATTCACAAGAGTATGGATTTAAACTCCCTTCTTCTGTAGAAAAGCATATCAACAAAAGAGCTACCATCCTTAAGTCGAAATATCGTTATCAGTTTGTTAAAAGTATTTTTAAGCTCTACAATGTATCACCTGGGTTTCGAGAAAGTTTCGGCGGCTTTAATTCTCCTACTAACGCCGACGCCATTCCTCAATCTCTGGTTAATAACTTACTCGATTCTCGTTTGCCCAATCGAGACAACTCAGTTTGTGAATATTCGCAATCATTTGAAGGCCGGGCATCAAAAACAAGTATCCGTTTCAAAAGATTTGAAGGTAACTCTTGTAGATAGTTTGCTTCAACATGCTATACACTGATTTGCCAAGCATTTAAGCTAAAGTTATATGAATAATCCAATGTTTTCATTTTATTTCTGTCTTTTTTTGGAAGAGGAACTCTGTAATTTTATCCCATATGATGAAATACACTTTTTACCATATCAGCATCCGTTAGTACACCACAGTCTAAATAATCATACGATTCAGTAACTAGAAAAGTTAGCGGCTATCATGTATGGACCTCTCTTTCATATAGTTGAGACAAGTAGTAATTTTACTCCAAGTTGTAATTAGTACACCTTTCGTTTATAACTTGGCTGTGATGTTACTTTTTGTAGTAAATATAATTCTCCTGTTATTACCACGTTTGTGATTATAAATATAAACTAGATAAACTAACTGTAAAACGATGACAGGTTATATCAGTATAACAATTTTGTATGTAATAAAAATTAACCATGATTCTGATACATTCGAACGTATCTTCACGGATTTAAACTAGAAAGTGTGGAATAGCTTGAGAGTTCTTCGTGACACCGCATCCCCAATAACATAAGTTCAAATATCAACCTCCAAGTTATGCGATGACCAAACTGTTTTCGGTCTCATGGGTTAGAGTAGTTCATTTGTTCTTTCAACAGCCTCGATGGAGCTGCCTAAATGAACTCTCAGTCTGTTTACACTAAGGGTATCATCACTAGCTCTTATTACATAAGTATGATTGGCACATTAATCTTTGCCTGGTCACTGAGTTACATGACATTTAAAAGCAGAGTTGAATGTGCTTGTCAAGAGCTACAAACATGTGTGCATTTAAAGTTGCTATGATAAGAATGGTGCTCTTCTCCCGATTTTAGCTGTCACTAAGACCATTTGAAAAATATGGGATACTATTGTTTAATAAATTCAAGATTTTTGGGCTTGTTATCGAGTTTTTACAACTAAAAGTATTTATAACTCAAAAATATCTTCAATTTATTAAATTCGTGTATTACTAAAGGGCTTTATTTTTTTATTTTTACCTCAGAACACAAACCATCGAAGTTCAAAAACCCAAAACATCGAAGAGAAAAGAAGAAAAAGCTGTAATTGAAAATTATTTGCCTTATGTACGAAAGTATTCAAATAGTTTTGTGTTTTGTTCTAATATCGCGATTTTGAATTAGTTGGTCACTCAGTCGCAAAGTAGGATCCGGTACTTATCCACATCGGTTCAGGTTGCCATACTTCATTAGCACAAGGAAATGAAGTTGTCAGGTCGAATATCAGAGCAGTAGAAGTAGTAACAGTATCAGTGGTGATAGAAAAAATTAGACATCAAAGATACATTTCGAGATTATATAAATTAGTGAACTATACTCAAAAAAGTTATGAGGGTTTCAGAATCTCATAATTTGGGGCAAGACGAAGAATAGGGACATCTTTGCCGTCTTGAATCATTCTGTTCAAAGTTCCCAGTCAGTCAGCTGCAACGTAAGACCAGACGCATATATGCATTGGTCGAAGTTGCTACATCTCATAAGCACAATAAGACGAACACCAAATTAATAGAAGTAGTTCCTTCAATGCTAGTAATATATGAAAGAAAGGTTGTGTATAAGGGTAATAGTATAGGAAGAAAGAATTAGCTACTAGCAATAAAGGTATAAAGCAATTTTAGTCTCACGGTTTAAGGATAGACAAAGAGTGTATACACCTACGCCATTGTGATGGATTCTGAGCCATATCACCCATAGTCTCCAGCCATTAGTTACAGTAATCACGCGGATCTAAACCAGGTAGTCTACACTTACTAACATGACTCAGTCCAGTCGTCAGTGACCCCATGAACTGATGCTATGTTTCGGTTTGGCCGTCTCTATCTTTCTTCCAGCCTACTTTACTTGTAATGACGAAAACATTTTATAGGCAGTCACAATGCGCCGTTCACTCTAATCACATGCTGGAACATATGAATAGGCCTCACTAAATATTTACATACCAAACTTTTTGTTCATTATGTGTCATGTTCCTCAGTAGAAGCACGACCATGGGAATGAAAAACTGCTGTGTATAACAGTTAAACGTGAGGATAAAAGTGCATTATTATGAAGTTCAAAAACGTTTCAGGTCGTTGTTAGGACCTAGCCAAACCTCATTCTGGAAGGTTGCTTAAAGCCCTCTAGAAAACTTCTAAAACCTCCACACACGGACAAATGATAAGTTACGCCTAATCACAATCCCAGTGGATTTATTTTTTTGTTTACTGAAACATTAAGGTTTGATGCCAATGAATGGAAGCCCGTAAAGTTGCTTTTCACTCCATTAGTATTGTGAAATGCACACAACTAATCCTTAAAAACTTTTTCTTTCAACTTGACAAATTTCTCGAATTCAGCTACAGATGAACTAACAATAATTACAACTCCCCTATCACACAAGTAATCTCAAAATGATAGATCTGATGTAGGTTGAGGGTGTGTATACGATTTACCCCGTCGATCACAAGGACGATTTGTTCAATTTCTTTGATATTTTTTGGTTTGCAAATTAGCAAGGTATTAGGTAGTCATTACTTAGCACATTGTTAGGAGGCGTGGTTATTTTAAACCTTAAGTACCTTTTTCAAGTTTTTGTCTCAGGATTGAGTATATAAATTCGTAACTTATACTTTTCTTTGCTGCTTAACATTAGTGGAATTCCAAAGGGATATTAACGTCGGTCTACTAGCTTCAAAGAAGAAAAGTATGGACAGATTTATGCTTTCTGATACAACCGGATATTTGTATTTCTAAGGTCTTTCTATGCACACTTGACTCCTAGTTTTCAGAAATCCAATCATAATACATTACTTATCCCTAAATTTAGTCTTGCTATAAGGTTATTTACCATTATAGTTCCCTTAGTACTTTGACCTCAGAATTCACTTCATTTAGGATGTGTTTGTTAGTTACATTAATGTTTATTCTATTCCGAAATATGTATAACTGTTAATGTCGTGTTAAATGTGTTCTAAATGCTGAGATATTTTCCTACTATATACATTTGTCTCATAAATCGATAGACGTTGGGTCAATATAAGTTTCCCCTCTAATAACATTTAATGGTACAGGATATGGTTCCTACAATTTAACCGACATAATAAAGTAAACAATCGTGAGTACTAGAATTGCTTTGTAAGAGGATTTCGGAATCCAACCTAACTCAATTCGTAGTTTTGAAATAATTGTTGATTTCAGGCTCTAATCCAGCCTATCATCTCTTTCCTAATGAATAAGCTACATTTAATCGTTGAATGTATCGAACTCGGTCACAAAATATAAATAAGCTCGGCGGAACAAGCAGATATATGAGGTAATGAAGAAGAAAATCGAGGTAAATTTTTATTTTACTATAAAAATGGAAAGTAATGTTATTAATATAAAATATATTGGTGTTAAAAAATAAATGTTCGCTGTACATGTGGTGTGAAGCATATTTCTACATTAATTATTGATTATATTCTTGATTAGAATACACACTACTGTAATTTGTTTACTGGTGTCTAAGGAAACTTTTGAAAGTAATATATGTGTGGTTCATGTATGGTTGTTAGTTGGATGGTTCTAATATACATCTATAAATAATGAGTATGCGATCGAGATTGATCACTGATTAAGATTTTTAATTTCTAAATCTGCCAAAATGCTTTTTTTTAACTTGATGGGTTTTCTCTTCTTATCTTTGGTGTTGTATCTGTAAGTGAACTGAAAATACAATATGATGTTGAGTAAAAAACAGTTTTGATAAATATTTAAAAATTCCAGAAATTATTGACTGATTTAAGATTTAAGTGCCGTTTGTTGATGGATCTGATGAATAGTTTTACTTAGTAAAATGTGATATTATTTCTTCTCAAAAATTAATTTTGTTGGATTTGTTGCATCTTACTATTAATTTCAGTCTACAAGTTTTCAGGACTAACGCTAAGGCTTTCAGCATAGCCATTTTATCAGTGTTCCTCACATACTTTTCAATTTTTGTGTAAGTTTACATAAGAGAATCGCTTGGTAAAAAGATTATATATATATATATATATATATATGGGAATAGTTAGGTTGTCTCTCATATCTGATAGTGTTTATGTAGAATAGGTTACAGGCCGGTATTACTGAGTGATTTCATAAAACTTTATAAGTACGGCGACCCTATCACGTTTTTGCATTAACACATCCTTTTAGTGTGCGTTTAGTAACTATGATTAATACTTTTCAAACTGACTAATAAATGGTTTGTACTGTCTAAAATCCCCTTAAGTTTTTGAATATTTTCTAACAGTAGGATCTGAAGCATGTTTTGTCCCGTTCCGCAGTTCTCAGCTGGGGTACACATATGTGTTGGCGAAAATTGTCGCGTTAAAAATTTCGATGTTTTAATCATATACGTAATGATAAATAACCTTTGTTAGTTACTAGTATTGCTATCGTGCATTAATTGGCAAAGATTTATATCTTTTGTGTTGTTGATACGCAGGACTGAAGTGACTTATTTCTGATTTACAGATTGGGCAAAGAACAAATCTTGAATTCTCCGAATAACTATTTAAAAAATAACCGCCTTTTGAATGAAGGTGATACAAAGACATTCATTAAAGGGACTCATATACCAACGGAGATTGATAAGCTTATCCTTGAATACCCACGAAGGCTATATGCAAACGGTTATAACTTACTATGTTTTTCTATCTTATAAAATTCCCGAATGTTTTGGTCCATTCTTAATTATATTTTTCCCGAATCTAGTAAATCTGTATTGTTACCATAAAAGAATCTGATTTGCACATACTGCAAATGATTGTTAGATTGATGTCACACCAACTGTTGCTAAATTATTTTTAATTTAGTAATCTGTGTAATTAGTGTTAATAGATGTTAAAATCTGTGGGAGATGAATTTAATGTGCTGTAAACACTACTTCTGATATGATTAGAGTCCATGTTTGATAAAACATCTAATTTTCATTTTAAATGATTTGAAGACTTTATGGTTCTGATGTGATGAAGTTTTATTGAAATGCTAAAATGTATCTAAGTGCCTATGAGGTTGTACTAGTTTATCTTTGGTTTATGTCGGGTTTCTATATCTCTTCCTTGTGAAGTTGTCCGATCTGATGGTTATATTGTCATATGAACGTAGTTGATTAATTCCTGTTTGTCTTATTGTATCTTTTTAGTTTGAACTTGAACTTCAATTTAAATGGCACACAATCTAGTTTATTTGTTTGCTATCGTCTTAGTGCCGTATAATGTAATAATCCCCAAAAAACCTATAGAAGTTGTCTTATAAATTGAGTTTTAACAGATGCTGCTGTTGCAATCTGATATTCATGTTTTTACCTGTTGAGGTAATTTGAAAGAATTCACCCTCCCCCCCCAATGCCCTAGCACAATCAAGGGCGGCGAGAGTTGGCTCTCTCAAAATGCTTTCATTTGGCCACACGTATACAGCCATGCCAGGGAAGTCCTACTCACTGCCTTCTCTCGACAGGACTAAGAGCGAATGTTCGGCGCTTTAGCCGGGTTAGTAGATACGGAAGATCCACCTAGAGGGTTGGAAAACCTTGATTCCAAAACAATGGTGAACATGTGCTCAAGGATCGTGAGGAAACAAAAGGCATATAAACCTATTGTTGGTCAACGGCTACCGTGGGATTGCATTTCCTAACGTTGTTCCACTGCTTTGTGGATTGGACTTCTAGGTCAAAGGCTTATGGTGTGGCCCCCTAGGAAGGACACTTGCTTCTGTTCGGGCACCCGGGCAGCATCCCAGCCCCCACACAAATCAAATGATTCGTGTAGCGCATATATATTTGGTGCCTCCTTGTAACAATTTTTAAACAAATACATTTAGCGAAATATATTTAACCTGAATTATTAATCTCACTGTGTTTCAAACGCAGCACTTACTCCTCCAGTTGTAGTCTTAGACATGAAATTAGTGATTTTGGATCCACTCACTCTACTTTCTACAATATATTTTAAGAGTATGAGAACTTTCGTATAAATTTGAACGAATAGTTTCACAGTAGTTGGGCGCCGAGTTAATGTAAGATATTAGGGATAAAACATATATTTTTAAAATCTCAGTTATTGAATTTTGACCAAGTCCAACGTTTTTCTCAACAATCTTA